GTAATATAGGCTCAATGCATCTAAGAAATTATTGTATTGTTTTTCTAGATAACTCCTTATGCCTTTGAACTATAGAGGCAGTATACAGCTTTAACTATTAGTTACAAAAAAAATAAAAAAAGAACAATGTTTGAATCTTTTGAAATTTAAACGCAAAGCGGCAACCCTATTAAGAGACTCATAGAGTAAAATTGCAATTAAAAGCTCTAAAATTGGAAAAGATAATGAGCACAGCTAATTATTTTTAGTCTTTCATATTCAATGGAGTTTGATCGTGATGACTAGATAAGCCAAATGTCTATAATAAGACATTATAATCATACAAGATTATATATCTTTAAAATAGCTTAAAATCTTCTTATAATTAAAAATTTTAGTTAAAGAGAGAGAATATTAATAAAATAGACTATTTAAGAATAAAATAGTATTCTTACTAAGTCTTTCGAGTCTTTTTTTAACTCGTCAATGCATATTACGATAGTTAATATTCATTAAAAAGTAAAGCAACCGCACTGTGTAGAATCGACCGGTGTCGTTAATTATTTTCTAATACAATAATTTTAACAATAAAATAACAAAATTCAATACAAGTATTAATTTTACCTCCCTACCCCCAGCGCTCTAACATTTAGCAAGATGCGATGTCGACCTATTTTGGCTTTGGATATTCGGAAATCCGCAGTCTAAACCGAAACTCAATTAAACTTAACAACTTTTTTATCTGTAGTGGGTGTTCTTGACGGTATTAAGTTCTTACCACCCATTTCATATTAGTTAAACTTAAATACTGTCTAACTTTACGCGAGTAGTACGCTTCTGATGAAACCTTTAACAGCGTGGTAAACGCGATATATGCGTTGCATATATCGCGTTTTAAACCGTTAAAGTGTTTTATTTAAATATATACATTGATTAGAAAAATGTTGAAGCCGATGGGGATCGAAGCCACGATCCCTAGATTGTTTACATTCCGTCGAAATCAGGAATTCGAATCCACGGCTTGACCTGGAAATTAGACCTATTCATCAAAAATGTCGACTGAGAACCCTATAAACCTTTTTTGGTAATTCATGCTCTATCTCCTGTAAACAGGTTTTCCAGGATATAATTAGGCGTGGAGCGCTCCTTCAATTTATTGTGGCGAAATTATCTCTGTTGACCCACGCCTGTGCTGCAACTTTTTAGACCCGCTAAGCTTTTGCATACAGTTCCTTAAAAAAGATTCTATCTTTGACAATTTATTAGGGTTCAAAGGTATTTGGAATAAAAGAAAATTTAGACATTTAGGCATTTTATAAAATGTAAGGACGCGATAAAATTAGTTTAAAATAAAATATTGTCTATAGTTTACGCGAGTAGTATACATTTAAATAAAACACGTTAACGGTTTAAAACGCGATGTATTAGTTAAACTTATTTGAAAATGATTTTTAACTTCGGCCCGACGTTTCGGATGCTTTGTAGCAGCCGTGGTCACGGGGAGAAAATTAAATAAAATATTACTGTAATATTGTGAAATATCCTGTTTCCTAGCGTGGTGCATGGGGTGTACACATTTCTGTGTCTCTTTTATGTGCATTGCCCGACCGCAACATATTTTTCCCTGGAATTCGAACTTAGGTCTTGTCGCACTTAACGCAGCTAGACAACACGTTTATTTATAATAATATGTAAAAGGAAACCATTTGTTTTTTGGGTAGTAGGTAAATTAAAATTAAGTTAACCAATATAATCCGCGATTCGAACCGTTAAAGGCGTTTTATTTGAATGTAACCACGTGTAAATTAAAGTAAATGTTTAAAAAACGTATAAAAGTACTTCGTATAACATATATGAAGAACCTATTTACCTATTTTATTGTCATGGTAAATAACTTATTTAAATATAAGAGGGTTTATTTAGATGTTTTGTCAACTTATTTTAGCTCATTCAGTCCGAAATAAACACTATAACCAAAAACGTTACATTATTTTACCATCTTTAAGCCGTTTTCGGATTCGGACCAAATTTTCAATGGTACACAAAAAAATCCACAACAAACAAACGACCAAATAATTATTATAAACCAAGCTTATCAGATTAGCTATACCGATCTAGATCTCTATTAAATTAAAACATGCTCAAACGCATTGTGATTTGTAAAGCAAAGTGCTAAATTTGATTCACGGCCGCACCGATATGAGTTGGTCACGACGCAGAAACGCCCGTTTCAAAGTCACGACGCCATGTTTGCTTGGAATTCGCAATGCTGAGCCATTCAGTCAGTTTACAGTACAAACACGATGTGCCCGTTGACTGTAGCGAACGTATTGTATGATTAAGTGGAGTAATTTAAACATTGTACAGTAGCTGAGATGGAAATTCATTTAAATTTTCAGATACACTTATCGTATACTACGATAAATAGCCCATAACTTCGCTCCTGTTGCGTCGCATCGTGATGTTCTAACAAACACATTTTTTTTTCAATTCGAACCAGTAGTTCCTGAGATTAGAGCGACAAACAAACAAACTCACCAGCTTTATATATTATATGATTAGTATAGATAGATAGATAAGAATCGTTTAAGTTAAACATTTTGAAATATAGTAATTAAATGTGTTTACTATTTTCTTTAACTACGGCTGACGTTTCGCATGCTTTGTCTTAAGTCAATAGTTAAAATGGTTTATAACGCAAAATAAATAAATTAAACATATCACTAATTTTTAACTACGGCCCAATGTTTCAGATGCTTTGCAGCAGCCATGATCACGGGGAAACAAAAGATGGAGGTTGTCTCCAATGTCTAAGTCAAAACTGCTATGCTATATATTTTTGACGAAACTAGACGGGTTCTTTCAGAATTGACAACGGTGTCGTCGAACTTCGGACGGCTCTATCGATTTTGATAAAATTGTATACCTATTTACCAGATAGGCTTTTTATTTAGAAGGTTTGAAGCTACGACAAAGCTTAAGAGTATTAGCTCTTCATTAACATGTCTGAAGCGACACAGTTGGGGTTATTGGGACGCAAATGCCGGATGCAATTTTAATTCATGTCAAGAGTCCCCGGCGACCGCGGGGTTAAGTGCATCGGCCGTGTCTGTCTCGCATGTCAACGGTTGACGCTCGTATTAGACTACCGATGGGCATTAGAGGGTTAAATTAGTAAAGCTATTTAGGTGAGCAAGCCAGCTGAACGTGATTTAGAAATGTTAGGTATTGTCTGTAGTTTACGCAAGTATTACACACTTCAATAAATCTACACTAATATTATAAAGAAGAAAGATCTAGCACTAGATTACTGTAGAAATCTATATAAATTCCTGTTAAAACCAACGGAAGGCGTAAAAAAATTAGCCCTAAAATGTCTTTCATCGCATCCGCTGCGAAAAATATGATAGAAAAAAAATGTTCGACAATATTATCGAATATATCAATATCTACAAAAAAGGCAGTTATCTAAGAATATTTCCCAAGTGAGATTGCAAAAGTTCGCCGTATTGGAGAGTCTTCTTCCAAAAATACAGATCGTCTGGAAAGTATGAGAGTGTATGCATCCCGATCGCGAGCCAGAGAATCTAACAACGAACGGTCAGTTCGTCTTGCAGAACAAAATGCAAGATCGTTGCCTCTATACGAACGATAGTCAAGTGCTGAGCGCTCTCAGCGACTTGCTGAAAGTAGGGTTAGGAACTCACGAACGCGTGCAGGGGAATCTAGCACTGAACGCTCGCAGCGGCCCTTGACACAGCGAGATCGCTAACAGCTAGGACGCGCAATTCAATTATTTTCTTATTTAGTGACTTGTGGTCGTTTTAATTAGCATGCTTATAACTTAAATATCTGTACCTATTTATGTCTACCCGTGCGAAGCCGGGACGGGCCGCTAGTTATATATATGAATATTACTACTTATTTACAATAAATGTTATCTATGGCCTGACGCTTCGGATGCTTTGCAGTGGTCAAAATGGAAATGAAGATGGAGGGTATCCCTAATTTGAAGTCAAATCTGCTGCCATATGTTTTCTCGTAGTTGATGGTTGGAGAAAGTGCTCGCTTGCCCGTGGCGAAAGAAACAGACCATACCTATTTCCGGCCCTTCTACCGGGGTTTGAACCTAGTACGGTACCTAGTAACCTAGTAACGGTGTCGCTCGGCGACAAAAACCAGACCACCATACCCTACACCCAAAGTTTGTCAAATGCTATATTTTTTATGTTTAGATCTTTAGATTAGGACACTGGTCTTGTATTTTCTCTGATTCTATTCTACAAACTAAACAGTACAAAAATTACAATTAGCATACCTTACAGTACATTTAATGGCCATTCCAATAAGGTATAAAAACTGCACACTTGAAACCTTTTAATCATATAAATTCAGTCAAACAAAAATCACAACACTCAACACTGACTGAGAACCGATATTTTTATTACATAACTTTTTTCTATGGTTGAGATACTCGAATGGGTTGGATATGGCGGGAAATTTTACGGAGAAACGAGACATAATATACAAACTACCTTGAGAGCGATAGAGACGACTCATTTGAGCGCGGGGGCCATGCTCACCACAAATCCACACGGGCGCGATGTTACCTTGTAGTTAACACGTCCCTTTTTGTGTAAGCGCGCCATTAAATAAAAAGTAAAAAGTAAGTTAACAGGTGCAAGTGGGCGATGATTGGGCCTTCACAGAACTGAGACATGGCGTATTTCTTATTAAATAGAATCAAGATATCAAACATCTGAGTACCTAAACTACAAAATGGATCTAGTGATCCAAAAAACGAATGGACATGGATGGACAGCCAGAAGTCTCACTTCGCACACGGGCCTACAAGCAACAACAAGTCTCCTGTGGACTTTCGGGAAGAAAGGCGAACGGAGCCCACACCGTGATATCCAGCGCACTGCGCCGAACCTCGCCCGTGGCTTCGCCTCTTGGGCCGAGGGCGCAGCACGCTTCAGGCCGTGCCGACTTCTCCACCATTGCTACCTACACCAAGAATGAAATTCAACTCGTCGGGCGTCGGCCGCCTTCGCTCGACTAGCGATCGAGCTGGCTCGCGACGTGATCCGGCTCGGGCCGTCGACGCATCATCATCGAAACCCGACGTGACTCCACACACCAGCGCCACCGCCGCTGACGCCACCGCCGATGACGCCACCGCCGCTACCGTCGCCGCCGAGATCGCTGCGACGCCCATGCCTTCCTTCCTCGATTCCATCGAATCGCATTTCCTAGCCCTATCGCAAGGCTCTCCCGAGGTCCTGGACGCGATGTTCCGGTCCCTGTCGGGTGACGTCCCTCCTGCGCCGCGGGGCTCCCCGAGAGCGTTGCTTTATTCCGACGCAATTGCTTACGCAATTGTAAGGAAGCAAGTAGCGTTCTCGGACGGCCTAAACGCGGCGGTCAGGGCGTACCTTGACAGGACCGAGACAGAGCTAAGGGCCGAGGGATTGCTAAGCACTCCCCTAACGCAGGACGAGTCGGCAGTTGCCTACGGCAACATTGCACGGTCGACCCCCCTGCGTCGCCCCCCCCGGCCGCCTCCTCCCTGCCCCGACCCCGTGGGGCTCGCGGAATCCCCCTCCCCCTGCGGATCCTCGGCTGCGACGAAGACTCGCGCCCGCTGCCGCGCCCGCTGCGCGCGCTATCGCGCGCCCGCCGCCGCGCTTGCCGCGCCTATCGCCGCGCCTGCCGTACGCTCCGCGCACACTCCGAGCGCCGCGCCTACCTCGAGCGCCGAGCCCGCTACTACGATCGACGCACCCCGGTCGTTCGCACAGCTCGCGGCCGCACCTGCCGCGGGCCGCCGCCCGGCATCGCCGCTGCCACAGACGTCCACCGCTACCACCGCCGCTGCCGCTGCCACCCCGCGCTACCCGCCACTAATTGTGGAGGTCCTGCCCGAGTGGACGACGCACTTCCGTGCCCTGAGGGACCGTCTCGGGCACGCGCCGAACGCGCGCCCCTTCGGCAGAGGGGTGCGCTTCTCACCAAAGTACGGGGAGGAGTACCGCACCGTGCAACGGTACCTGACGGAGCTCGAGAAGAACCAGAAGGTGTCGTGGTTCTCGTACTCGCTCCCCGCCGAACGCGACTTCAAGGTGGCGATCCGGGGCCTCCCGGCCGACACCGACCCTCAGCTCATCACGAAGGAGCTCAAGAGCAGGGGCTTCGAGCCCGTGCACGCCCAGCGCATCCAGTCATCCCAGGGGGGCCCCGGGTGCCTCTTCCTGATTATCTTAAAGAGGACACCGGGCCTCACCCCAGCCATTTTCTGCATCACCGAGCTCCTGTGCATGCCGGCCTTGACTGTGGAGGCGTGGCGCGGTAAACGCGGGCCCGCGCAGTGCCACAGGTGTCAAGCTTTCCGGCACTCCTCACACCACTGCCACCGACCCCAGGCTTGTGTACGATGCGGCGGCGAGCATCATGCAGCGGACTGCCCGCGCCCGCGGGACGAACCCGCAACCTGCGCCAACTGCAAAGGCGCACACCCTGCAAACCATTCCTCGTGCCCCGTTCGTCGCAGCGAGATGCGTAACAAGAAGGCGGGCACGGTGGCCTCCTCGGCCGCCATGAAGCAGTCCAAACCCCAACAGAAGGACCCAGAAGCCGAACCGCCGACCCATCGTGGCCCGCGGACCGGCAAGACAAAGAAGCGCGGCGGAAAGGGACGGATAGCTTCCGCCCCCCCCGCACCCCCAACGGCGCAACTGCATCGCCTCAGCGCCGCCGAAGCCTCGACCCGCGTTCCGCGGACGACCCCGCATTCGACCGTCGACCGGCCCATTGCACTAACCCACGCGGCTCTCGCGTCTATTGTGGAAGCGGCTGTACAGTCTGCGCTCGCCGCCATCAAAACCACAGGCAAGAAGGAAACCGCGCCGAAAACGGCGTGGCCACAGTGAATTAACCCTGTTTACGAAGATCACCTCGACGCAACACGGCGCGTCTCACCTGCGATTCATCCGCTGGCCGTACCTCACTGGGCCTCCCTCGGGGCTACCGGGGGTCTCACTCGGTGGGGGCGTGCCGCGCGCACCTGGGACGCACCGCCCGCGCACATGACCAACATTTTGAAGACGCCACTGTGTGTTATTGATACACAAACAGCGACCAGCCCGTATTGACGGGTTGCGAACCGGACACCCCCCGCGAGCACTAGAATGCGAAAGGGGATCCCGACGGCCGCTTGCGCGGCCGGCGGAAGAAGACCCACTGAAAAAACGAAATACCGTGAAATCTGAGCTTAAAAAATCATTGCAGATCAAATTACAGAGTTTAAAGTTTGTTAACGATTATAATATGATATATAGTTCCCTATATAGTATGAGATATCCATAATATATATCCAGATATCCATCAGGTGCATAACTAGTCTGTCTATCGTAAAAAAGGAAGCAGGAAGCTTATCAACTCGTGCGATTGCAATAAAAACTGCATTTTATTTAACTCCGCTGAAATATACATTTGCACATGGACAGTCTATTTCACGGCCGCTTTGTTTTTAAAAATATGCGCCGCGATGCACTAAATCTAACGCGGTTAACAACTATAAAACGATTTCAACTTGTTTACGGCTGAAATCTTTGTGAAAAGCAATTGGAAATTCGTGACAATTGAATGTAATTTGATTATGTGCCCCGCTTTGCAGTTATTTTGGTAGATGTTGTGTAATGTATAAAGTTAAATACTGTCTATAGTTTACGCGAGTAGTACACATTTAAATAAAACACTTTAACGGTTTAAAACGCGATATATTAGTTAAACTTATTTGAAAATGATTTTTAACAAGTACTTCGGCGTTTCTAAAGAAATAAAAGGGCCGACATTTCGGATGCTTTGCAGCAGCCGTGGTCACGGGGAGACTGTGACCACGGCCGCTGCAAAGCATCCGAAACGTCCGGACGTAGTTAAAATAATTTTGAAACAAGTTTAACTAATATATATCGCGTTTTATACCGTTAAAGTGTTTGATTTAAATGTGTACCACTCGCGTAAGCTACAGCCAGTGTTTACAGGGCGTAGTTCGATTTTTAATTACTAAAAATAGATCCTTACGTAAACTATCCATCAATATGCATCTCTTTCACTTATTAATGACATGTAATTTGGTAGCTCCTGTGCAATTATTCAGAAATTCCATTAAAAACTGATGTTTGCGAGGCCTACAAAAAAATAACGCAATATTTCGACATACTATTTATTTTCCCGGTTCGTTTTTAATTAAATTCTACAGTGCAATTTGGCTATGTTTACATTGACATGGCCTATAATAATACTGCTCAACGCGACAGAAATATTACATTGAACTCAAGCCAACTAGATGCGCCCTTTTACCACAAATAGCCATAATAATTCGTATTAACTATACGTAGAATTGTGAACGTGACAGTATCTATGTGTTTAAATAAAACAAAACGGGGGCGTTTCCCCGTGACCACGGCTGCTGCAAAGCATCCGAAACGTCGGGCCGAAGTTAATCACTTTCAAATAAGTTTAACTAATATATCGCGTTTTAAACCGTTAAAGTGTTTTATTCAAATGTGTACTACTCGTGTAAACTATAGACAGCTTTTAATATCTACGTGTATTAAAAGAAAACACTTTAACGGTTTAAAACGCAATACATATTAGTTAAAGTTATGACGTTTCGGACGCCGTGGTCACGGCACAGCAAATCAGTTTGACTAAGTTAACGTATGTCTACTACTTGCGTAAACTACAAACAGTATTTAACTTTGTATAGCGTAATTATATTTCCTTACTTGAACTTCAGTTACAATTCGTTATTGAATCCAAGAATACATTTAAATTTCCTATATTTTCTTGATGAGATTTATATGTATAACACTATACATTTTATTTATATGTATAATACTATACATTTGGGTAATATTACTAAATATTAAGTAAGAATTAGAATTATTTATTTAATTATCCGGTTATCCAACAGATTAATACATTAACTTAATTATAATAAAAACCTATAATAGGCTACAAATAGAGATACAAAAAGGCAAAAGAACAGACTCGTGGGTTCGGTCGGTGTGGTATGTGTGTGAACAGAATCATGTGTATATGTAATATTATAAATAATATAATTATATATAATTCATAATATAATCGACCTCATAAAGTTTCCGCAATGTTACCTTTAAAACTAAAAATACGTTAAAATTTCCTTTAGTATTGCAAACAATTTCTCGTTATGAACTAATATTATCTCGATCCCTGCCACATACATGTCACCAGCGTGAAAAGAGGCAAGCCCACGTCCAGTCAGACCGTGGGACCAGTACAAACGATGAATTATAGCAGGCCATCAATTATTGGAGCGGCGAAGATGTTACGCGGAGCTTTGGTCTCTAGATGTATCCCTTAAAAACATTTCACATGAAGATTGGAAGATTGAGTAACTTTATAGATACCTATATATAGATAAAATTAAATACTGTCTGTAGTTTACGGAAGTAGTACACATTTAAATAAAACTTTTTAATAGTTTAAAACGCGTTATATATTAGTTACACTTCTTTGAAAATTATTTTACTACAGTCCGACGTTTTGTATCATTAGTTTTAAATAAGTTTAACTAATGTATATCGCGTTTTAAACCGTTAAAGTGTTTTATTTAAACGATACAAATTATTATTTTACTGAAATACACCGATAATATTTATTTTGATAATTTTAAAATTGTCCGCGTAATATTGGAATTATATAAATTTAAAATAAATCGATGATGACGTATAAGACTGTAGCTCAATTGTTTAGACCACGGATTGCTATAAATGCCGGTTTAAATCCCGCCTGTTGCATCGATTTTTTTCTACCTAAATAGACTTTTAACTTGAACTTACCGAAAGGCGAAAACACATCAGTGCTACCATATTCATAAAAAAATTAATACCAGTATTTTTGGAAGACTAGAGAGATTCGATATATTATAATATTAGGCAAATCCAGAAGATTTATAGCAATGTATTTTCTAAGGCGGTGTTTACAACGTCGTGCTTTCTCCGAATTGCTTAGTTTGGTGCTAACAATGCTTGTTGTTTGTGTTGTATGCCTTTCGCGTGATTATATTAATCATAAAGTCTGCACTTAACAATCGATATTAATTAAAAAATAACTAATTTACATCAGTTATTTTTTAATTAATACTTTCTTGTACAAGTAATTTTAATTGCATCACAATTAAAATAAACTGCCTGCCTGCATTGTCTTAAGCGCGAGAGGTCCTGAGTTCGAATTCAGGAGAAACAATAAATTGTTTTGGTCGGCCAGGGCATAGAAGTCTGATCAATTACATGTCTGTAAATTAAACCGATCTATGAAACGGAAAAAAAAAAATTCGCACCGCCCCACAAGGGGAAACGGGCGCACACACGGAAAAAAAAAAAAGAAGGACCCGGCCAGTTTCCTCAAATACCAATTTCATTTCAATTTTTATTTTGACGACATCCTCCATCTTTAGTCTCCCCGTGACCACGGGTGCTGCAAAGCATCCGAAACATCGGGCCGTAGATAAAAATAATTCTCAAAAAAGTGTAACTAAAATATATCGCGTTTTAAACGGTTAGTATTTTGTTAATTATAAAAAAATATTAAAGATTAAGCGGCTCTCGAACCTACGAATGTATCGTGGAAAAACTGAAGATCTTTAAATACAGACGACGAAATAGCTCTTTCGGTAGAGTTACGGTAAATACTTGGTACTATGTTTGAATTTTTATTACGTCAGAATACATATGACGAACATACTTCTAGAAAATGACAGCATTTCACAACGCATTCGTTAAACATTTTAAGGGGGAATATTGGATCAATTCAAGTGCAAATACGTTCGTAATAAAAATTTCATTACTCTTTAGGGTTGTCGACTTTCTGAAATTGATTTGAGACGAGTTGCTTGAAAATTTACTAAACATATGTCATAATGGCAAAATCTCTCTAAAAAGTTTTGAACCTACATCAGTACGAGAATATAATAAACGCAACCTTTATTAATATTATTTTAGAGAAAGGGACAGAAAAGCACAAGGTTCGCTTGATGGAAGTTGAAATACCTATATTTAGGTAATTTGATTGAAAATAAAATAAAAAAAAACAAACCGCAGTTATTTCAAATCTACCCACTTAAACACGGACACTTAGAGCCTTTGAACGATGTTCCCTCGACGAATGACTACCGTCCAATCGCCCCGTCGGAGCGGCACGCCGGTTTTATACCTTACTGGTAAGGTATTCCTTACTCTATATACTCCTGTGTAAAACCGAAAAGCGATGAACCTTCCCGGCTTTTTTATGTGTACGGTGGTTTGCGACCCAGACTTTTCGAAACTACCGCCCATTTAATATTCCGATTTCAATACAAAAACATACATATGTTCGTAACTATAAATTAACGTTTATAACCATATGTTAGTACTCGGCGGAAATCGAACGGCTTATGCAAACCTATCGATTATTAGGCCAAACATTAATACCGTAATAATGTCAAACAGGACATTATTTCGCGTTAAACAAGCCTATGTTAGATGTGTACCAATAGCGTAAACTATGAAACATTCAAATGATATCGTCAATTGAGTAATTAAATACAAATAAATGCTTTGAAAATAATTTTTACATTTTCAACAGGTGACAACCCTATGCGTGGGTCAGGGGACTAGCTATAAACGACCAATTGAATCATATTAATATTACGACTTCTATTTAAATCATAATAAATTTATTCGTATATTCGTCACTAAATCTGAGGTTACTCAACTTTGTTTACGGTGACACAACATGCAAAGTGTTTTAAAGTAGTTAAAATGTTTGAAACTCACTTCGATGTCACTTTATCAGCGGGATATATATAAACATTTATTACGGGATGAAAATTTCGTTGACTGAAAATTATACTTTTTTTTTAAATTGATGTAAAGTCCCGTTACCCCAGTAGGGCTTATTAGAGTTTTAGTGTTACCTTACCATACCTTATTCGAACCCTGTACCTGAGATTAGCGCGTTCAAACAAACTCTTCAGCTTTATATATTATTAAGTATAGATTAATAACAAATTAATTCTGACTGCATATCTTGGATATTAAAAACTGTTTCCATTATCAAGGCACTTAACATAAATTACAACTATAAAATAAAGCAATACTCATTTAACATACCGTTTAACTTAATGAATGTAATCCCGTTTAATTATGTCTTAATTATAAACTATTATTTGTCTGTTTAATAAGATATCGTTAATAGTTATGTTAATTTTATATATGGAAGGAAAAACTGTAGTCTTTGAGTAATATATATTATCCATCTATAGACCGATCAAATAAGGTTAAAATGACGTTATTATAATACAATGTCTAACGCATCAAACATTCTCCCCCACCATCTTACGTATCTCATAAAAACCTATGATATTACACGCAGATATTTACACACGATCTTGATTATTAAACTTCCCCGTATAAGCCAATAGAAAACTTATCTAAATATTCACATATTCGGTCGTTGTGGCGTCGTTGAAAGCGGCGATAAAGATTTATATCCCAATAATACTTCGATTATTTCTCATTCGGCGAACTTGAATTTTATGAGGCGGGCAGGATCCTTACTTAGGCAGTTTCTTGGATATGCCCTATTTTATTGAGGGGTTAGATTATATTGTAACAAGTGGCGGTATGTAGGTTTTACGTTATGTAATCGTGCCTCCCAAATTTCTATATAATATAATGGTGGTAAACGTTTCGTGGTAAAAAGTGAAACAAAAAATGCAATTTAACATATCAGATTCAGAAAAAAGTGTATATAATTGATAATTATTAATTCAATCAGAAGCACTGGTACCTTAAGACCTAGATTTTATATAAATCATGCTTGCCTTGCCTCATCTACCATAAAAAAAAACTAATGTATTCGGTAAAAAGTTCTAATTTTATAGGCAAATCTATCTACCATTTTTTTCTGATAGAGGAGAACAGGCAAACATGAAGTTTTCTTGATAATAGGTAAAATACCCCAGCTATATAACATATAAACAAGATGTGTCGTTGACCCATTTTGGCTTTGGACATGAATGAATAATGTGAAGGTTTTATTTTGGTTGGAGTATTTCTATGGTTTGGTAGCTTCGATGCCAAGACAAGATTTCACTGAGCTTCTATTATTGAATAAAAATAATCCGATACTCATAGAATTATCAGAGTCCAAAGCCAATAAGTGACCTAGAAATACCCGAAGCTCCGGACAAAGTATCACGTTCTTAGAAAAATTGTCTAGATCCTCTCACGTTAATAAGACCCTCCTTACATAATTTTCTTGTACGTAGAGGGTAATCAGAGCGCCTTTAGACTCGGTAAGTATCTATGCTCGGTCAAGAAGCCGATTCTGCTAATTCACCAGACGAAATCGAGACACTGTCGAGTTGCTATCGATACACTATTGAGATGCTATCGAGACACTATCGAGATTCCATTGCAATAAATATTTTACAAAACGTCAATCGCTTGGAAAAAAACAATGTGATGACAATATCGTGACAGTAATTAGAAATGCTAGAGACGAGTCAAGCGTCGAATCATTCTAAATAGCAGAATTGGACCCCTATACTTCCTTTTAAATGCCCTCCACGGTAACGTTGTCCCTAATGAAATTTACGAGGACACCGAAACATCTCAATTTTGTCCCGGCTTCGACCCTAGCTTTTTATCATGAAGATTATTTTTAAATTAGATTACATTAAGATATATCAAATACGTATTGGGGTTGAGAGGATTTTCCCGGATAAGCAAATTTCTGTTTGCTTATAAATTTGTGCGAGGTTTATTTGAAGATTTATGTGTTTTACACATGTGTCATATACCGAAGGTTAGGTACTTATCGGTTTTTAAAATGTCTCAGTATCTTTTTAAAAGGCAAAAAATGTTATAATCAACACCAAATCAAGTAACTTTGAAGGTAATAGCAAAGATAATGAATATATAACAATGATTAGGTTATACGTAAATTAACGATTCCAAGTTAATCTCGAAATATTTTATCAGCATAGGTAAAGCAGTTTTGTAGATTGGAGCCGTCATTACTGACAAAGGCTTACAACTCTATGTAAATATCATGCGTTCGAAGCACGTCCATTCAATTCGATTGTGCACCACAATGTCCCAGTTACGTTATAAACAGTAGGACAATTACATAAATTCTATATTTGAACGCTGCTAAGGATCACTGTAGGAAAGGTAATGGTGTGTTTTCTGCTTTGTCTCTAATTTAATTAGCTAATTAACTGAAATATGGTAAAATAATTTAGCAATTACTATTTATAGGTGTTGTGTTAAATGCTAGAGATCCCGGGTAGAACACAAAAGCCTAATTAGCTTGCCTCTAAATAAAACAGTGCAACGGACATAGAAATGTGTTCGCCTCATGCCATATGAGACACATGCCATACGACAATTCTGTAGTTAAGAAAAGTTCAATTTTTTAAATATTAACTATATTTAACAAGCATAGGTTTAGGTTGAGAAATCAAACTTGCATGATGTAGTTTTATAACTATAATAAAAATAATATATCAAGGAAAGCTACAATAAAAAGAACCTAAATCCAAAACAAATGTCGATGACCAACCTTTTATATCGAATCATGACATTAAACTCTCAAATGACTCTGACATTTAATGTCAAGTCATGTGTTTGTGACATAGAAGACAATATATTTTAGATATTTAACAGTCAGTAGGTTGATGATCATATTGAGACAACTAATTGAAAAACGTGATTTCAATGATAGCATTCATCGATCGTCGACGCTTTAACGTATGACGCAACTGTTCCGATCACTCTGTGCCAAAGGCTTTGTGAACCGAACACGACCCGTCCGATTTGGACCCGTTGGGCGGCGGATTACAAGCCGATGAAAAATTCCACGAGCTCCGATAGAACGAGGCAAATTGAATATGACTGGAGTTTGTTAGATTCGACGCTCATGACGCAGTGTTTTCCATATCAGCTTATTGTTAGTGTATTCCAATCCGGTGTTTCCGAACTATACATGCAGCTATCCAACGAAATTCCTATAACAGATATTTGAAAGAGACTGAATTGTACAATCTTTTGTGTTCCAGATTTTTACATTCCTTTTATTTATTTTTTTACATTTCTGAATATTTCTATACGAAGCTATACTAATATTAGAAAGCTAAAGAGTTTGTTTGAACGCGCTAATCTTAGGAGCTATTGGTTGAATTGAAAAATGATTGTATTGGATAGACTATCATTGACGAAGGTTTTAAATTATATAACATCGTCCTGCGATAAATAGAAGTGGAAATATTGGAAAATGTGGAAAAACGGGGAAATTTATTCATCTTTGAAAAATAATAGCTAAATAGTATTGAAATAAAACTTTTTAACGGTTTGAAACACGATATATTAGTTAAACTTATTGAAAATGATTTTTTAACTTCGACCCGACGTTTCGGATCGGCAGTAGCCGTGGTCACGGAGTTCTCCCCGGGGGGTCTCGTGACGTGTTTCAAACCGTTAAAGTGCTTTATTTAAATGTGTCCAATTCGCGTAAAATATAGACAGTATTTAGCTAAATAGTACTTAAAACCCTTCATAAAAAAAAAAATAATTTTGTATGTCACATTTGATACCTATATAGAAAGATGACATTTTCATTTATTGAATATCTGAGGTTATGAATAAAAAAAATACTCTTTCCACTTTTACTAATCCATTTTACGTTCCACTATCAAAACTGAAAGCTAGCCTGAAACGATACACCAGCACGTAGGGTGCAAAATAATTTAAACGTAACACGAGCTTTTAAAACCTTAGAGCTAAAGGTTACGCGACTATTGCGTATCCTCTGTGCTGCTTTTAATAATTAGAACGCAAGGGGTGAGGGCTGCACCCTTAAAGCTCACACGAGGACGTAACAACACCTGTGTCTTTAAACTTTCTGTTTATATGTCTTATACTTTGTACAGTAATCTGTGCGTTTAAAATAAGAATGCAAATTAGCGAAAGGATTACAGCGAAGCTAAGAAGCTTTTATTGTTAAATTTAAACGATGTAAGTGTTGATTTTGAAGAAATTAGGAAAATAAATGTTGGAAAATTTTTGAATATATTAGGATATGTTTAAGGAAAATATAAGAATTGTCGATGTCTATAGCTTTATTGCAATCAGCCATACAGATCGAATTAAACAACTTTGCTATTGCACGCATGAAGCAAAGGTGTAATTTTTGTCAAAGATGTTGTTAAGGAATAAATTATGAACATAGGTAATAATGCATTTGAAAATGTATTTGAAATACAATAATAAAGTACGCAATTAATTGCATACTTTATTATTGTATTTGTAGACACGGAATTCTGACGTTTAAATCAATTTTTAATACCTTTGCATCTCAGTTGTAAACGCAATATTAAAAACAAAACAGTAATTTAGTTTCAGAGGCTGGCTGATCAAAAACGTGTCTATACATAGCGTTTATCTTCCGTTATGTGAACCTAGTGTTTTAATTAAATAAATCACTTTCAACGGTTTAAAACGCGAAATATATTAGTTAATCTATTTACAACTGAGTGTTGTAAGCGTACTTATTAAAAAAACCCTCAGAAAACACATACTGCTTTTTGCATTTTGCTTTAAGTTTAATTGCGTTTCGGTTGCAATCTGTGGATATCGAATTATTCAAAGCCAAAATAGCGTACGCGCGCATTTTGTTTACATTGTGTTGTTGGGATCTATCGCCTACCGTCAAGTGCTTGTCTGACCTCGTCTATCAAAAAAAATCATAATTTCTTTACTGAGGCTATGATCACGTTACAAAATAAGGTTTCTGGTGAATCTCTTTAGGAAGCCCTGGAAATGAAATCATCTCGTAGCAATTACATTAGCCAAATCGTATCTGAATGGAGCCTCGGTCGCCGCAATAAAACGAATTTCATCTCTTTGAGCGATCTCCTCAAGTATTTTTCTAAATTAAATATAATTCTTAGAAACATTTATCTCTTTTCAAACTATGTACGTAAGTATTCAATATGTAATTACATAAGTACTTTTTTCTACGTTTTTTTTGATTTATGTATAAGTTGTGGAGTATGCGCGTGAGTTTTAATATGATTAATCATTAATAAACATAATTAAAATGCTTTTTTTTCTAAGTTTTTTATAAAGTGATATGATTAATAATTAATAAACATAACTATTTTTATTTTATTTAAGACATCTTTCGAACCTTACACACTTTTTATAGAAGAAGAAGATCATTGTTTATCAACTAAACATATTTCTGTGTCAGTTTTACTAACAATGACAAATTAGGCATAAATTATTTCTCCGTATTCCCTTTTTATCCAAATACAATAGTACAAAAATAGGAGTACGAATTTTATGTTACCAAAGTAAACATTAACATAGAATATTATTTTAATAAAACAATTTAACGGTTTAAAATCGCGATATATATTCGTTGGACTTTTTTTGAAAATTCTTTAAGTAACCCTTCTTTCGTCTAAAGCATCCGAACGAAACGACGGGCGGTAGTAAAATATTTTTTAAATAAGTTTAACTAATATATATCACGTTTTAAACAGTTAAGAGTTTTATTTAAATGTGTACTACTCGTAAACTACAGACAGTATTCAATTACCAATAGAATATTATCTATAAACTGGAAAAAGATTCACTTGAAATGGATAGCTAAAATTATTGTGTAGTTAATTGAGTTACTATGTGTATACTGTATTTTAAAATGTGGACACAAGCCAACTCGCTTTTAATTGACTGTCAAAACGTTAGACGTGACATGCTTTTGCAGATAAAAGCACTCTTTCGGTAAGGATTATATTTTAAAAGCGTGCAATTCTGTCATATTAATAACTTTTAAAAGTTTATGACGGTAGTTGTATACTTGTTTCTAATACTTTTAGACTTCACTAACTGCTCTAGCACGTAAAAGCCAAAAATATACATACATACCTAAAAATAGGACCGAATAAGAACCCAGAAATCTACACTAATAATATAAAGCCGAAGAGTTTGAACTCAATAATCAAGAACTACAGATTCGAATTGAACAATTATTTTTGTTTTGGTTAGAGCATCTATATAGGAAAGCTATAAAATATCAGACTGCAGCCAATAGGAGAGAAGAAACAATGTTAAATGTAAAAAAAAACGCGGAAATATGAAATTGAAAATGAAGAAAAACTGTGTGCGCTGCAAAAACGGTTCAAGATACCTACTCAAAAATATATATAAAAAAAATCCTGAAACAATATATCTACGTAACAGCTATATAATTTGTGAAGATGAGGAGGTGATTTGCAAAAACAAATTTTGTTGTCCAGAATGACTATTCTGAAGAGTATAAACCGTTTTTAATTCGTTTGCAACTTGATAACGTTAAGAAAAGCAGTCCGAAACTACACAAAGATGTAAACATTTGGTACTCAAGCGGTAATCGAATTCCCGACCTATCGTAATCTCTGGCGCATAAAAATGCAACTAATTACCTTTGTCCTCTCGCAGTATCTCCATTGGAATCAAAGGTAAACTACATCGGCAGTTGTAAACTGGGTTGCGCAGGATTTAATAAAATCGAGTTAGTCTAACGAAATTGTAGGTAATTCAGTGATTCAAAGCCGTTTTAAATGGATTCAGGGCGCTTTTATACGCTTTCAAATCAGTTTAATGCTAATACACCCGGCGTAGCCTACAATAAGGATTTATTTGTGATTCGAACTTTTTTGTGACCCAATTATTAGATTTACTTTCAGTAAACGCTGAATAGAGGGGTTTAATATGCTGGAGCGTTTGAAAACTTTAATATTTTCACATGTTAGCATAGAATTATATAATTTAAAAAACACCTCAACGGTTTAAAACTCTATATATATTAACTTATCCAACTAATATTATAAACGTGAAAGTTTGTATGTGTGGATGGATCTTTGTTACTCTTTTACACAAAAACTACTATATGGATTTGAATTAAACTTCCCAATAATATAGCTTATACATCAGAATAACACATAGGCTACAATTTATAAAGATATTGTGTGAGCTGTCCAAAATATGACATTAAGTGTCAAGTAACTAGAAAAAAACCTACCTCTATGCGAGCTCTTCTGGCGTGCGCTGCCATAAACGTTAGTTACACATAATTATGTAATGTATGATATGCGCGATACTACGCAATCCTAATCCCAATCCTGCGTAGACTAAGTCGCGGGCACCAGCTAGTTACTTATATATCGCGTTTTAAACCGTTAGAGCGTTTCATTTCAATGTCTACTACTCCCGTAAACGAACAGTATTTAGCATTACATAAATTTAAAATCGATTTTAGATTGAAAAAAATTTACTCGGACAGGACTTGTACCGTCATCCACAGCGTTCCGTACAGTAGCTCTAACCAATTGAACTTCCGTGTCTTACACGCAATCGTCTAACTTTTTCAACCTACATGCACCTCTTGCGTAATGTAATTTAATACGGTGCCACTTTAAATGAGCTATAAAAATGTTCACGATAGTATATGTTTTTTAAGGTACTCGCAAGATTATGTAAATAAATTAAGACATATATGTAAGCCTGACATTAATTGTCATTGTCATTAAATGTCAGTTTGACAGATTTGGATCTGACGTATCGTGAATCGATATTGTAATTTATTAAGGGTTTCTTATGTAAATTTATTTTCGAACTTAGGTTTGTATTATTTCATAGTTACTACGACAACTATTGTAAGTCTTTATTTTCTTTATTTGCTTTCCTTTTAAGTTTGCATTTTAATTTTATTATAGTTAAAAACTACATCTCGAAACTTTTAGGTGTAAAGCGCTAAAAGTGTTTTATTTAAAAGATGTGTGTATTAAATATTCATTACAAAAAAAGCCACTTCATTTGCGGTGCCCTAAACTCAATAGAACGTTAACAACGTCACACTAAACACTAATGAGTATTTTCTGAGCCTTATCACGAGTGAGGTCGTTAAGAATTAATTCAAATACACTTAGATTATATCGTCGCTGTAACACGAAAGTTCCATTTAGCACCTCCGAGGGTGTA